ACCAACCAATTACCCTATTTCCTACTGCATCAAAGCACTTTGGTAGACACTGTGTGAAAGTTAACCCGGAGTGCTGCGCCAAATCCAAGAAGTAGCAGTGAAGAAGATGCGAATTTTTGGAATTCGCAAATCCAAAGAGAAATCGACCAAATCCAAAACAATCAGTTGCCAAAAAACTAATGTATATTCAAACAGTAAATGAACCCTGTGAAAATCGTTCTATACAACAAAATATACGTACGAAACTTGGTTGCGAACCTACAATTTTGACGGCTGCTGCAGTCTCTATCCAAAACGAGATACAATTTTGACACCAATCGAAACAAGAGGTTAAATATGGTCGTACAAGTAGATTGAGTGAAGTCAGACAAAATGAGTGGTCAATGTTTTTGAATACGTTACAGAAACAAAATCAAAACACATGCAACAGACAGGAACAACACCATCCACTCTTTTTAATATAATTTATAACGAGGGTATTCGCGTTGCACCAACCTAATAACCCCGTCGCTATCTGCGATAAAGTGATACTGGTTGCAGTTGACCTAAATACGGTTGTAGCGAAACACTTAGGCTGTTGCATGTAACCACCTGCGTGGGAAGCAATGAAACGTCTCACAAAAAATTTATTTATAAAGACAGAAAACAGTGATGTTCAAAATAGGGTTATTTGGAAAAGCCACTTTTGGTCTAACGTAATATAAACTTGCTCCTGACGGCAGTGCAGAAAGTTAAGCGGTGTGGTGACAAAGAAGGGCTGTTGAGTGGGATGTTCATGTACTCGGCAGGAGATGCGTCTCCAGTAAAATTTTTATCGACAATCCACCTGATATGGCAGCGGACAGTGATAAAAAGGATGAAACAGCAGGAGTGAATGGCAATACACTTTCATGCTGCCAAGAGTACAAAATTTGATTGCTAGCAGGTTTCAAAGGCACAGATAAAAGTAGCCCACTTTTTAAAGATACTGCGGGGTCTAAAAGGTGGAAGGAAAGTGATAGGAAATCTTATTCCGCATTTAAACTTTGATGGAGAAGTGTCTTAGCAGTTTTTACGCTGCCGACTTCACCCTCGCTGAGTTGGCGTAAACATTTGATACCACCTGTTATGACATCTTAATCCGGCAAACTCCAATACACAGCATGAAAATCTCCATTCCCTCGGTTTGCGGAATATTTAAGATGTAACTGGTTCCAAGGCGAAGTTTAAAGAATCGGCGGACGTGAATATCACCATCTTTCGAGGCATGCCATGCAACAGTACTTATCGTCCATCTCCCCATTGAATACACCAAAATACCCAGGGTACTGATCAGGGAAGACGACTGAAGAGCTCTCTTAAACAATTTGCAATGACTGCGGTTCCCGTCACCAAAGAACGGCCTGAGATTCATCCCGGAATCTTGCAAGGTGGTGTGCACTGCAGCCGAAGAAGCGAAGATAGATGGATACTAACGTAAGAGTGAACGCGAGCGCAAGTTGTGCATAGCACCATCACCAAATTGTCTACGAAGAAGGATGTCACCCTCGACTTCTCTGACGCTCACTGCGTCAGCAGTAGTCAGGTAGGAGCTGCAACAACTGCAAGCGCCACTCTTCATTTATTGTGTAAGTATTTCAATCCTATTATACCAGATCATTTACACAACATGATTTACGGAATTCGGAAGTGCTGAACGTTCTAGCAGTCTTTATACTTAATTGAGGATCCGCCTTCATTGAGGAGCCGCACAGAAGTGCAGTGAAAGCCAAGTCTAACCTTGGTGGGAAAGTACATCCAGGCAGACTGAAGTGTTTTAATCTATTCACATAGAGCTATCGTGGAAAGGCGAGATGCTATCATAGATTGTCAGGCCACTCACCGAACAAGTCACACAATAAACTGCCCTAACCAACAACGTGGCAACCGTCACAAGAGGATATCACCAAAATATTTCACCCGGGAGTCAGGACAAGGTCAGGCGCCTTTGTCCTATCATAAGGAATATTCTGCAGTCAGATGAAGTTTCTATTCACTCGGCAGGATAACTTTGGAAAAATCAGAGAAGCAATTCAAATCGGATGTCTTAACAGCAGCTTGCACCGGGCACTTCCGACTTCATTAGCTACCTCTCATTCACTCGCTGGATTGGAAGCCTGCATAACTCACCACCACTGCAGTACTGTCCCGTTTTTGCCCGCTGTTTGCATGACTTACTCGCTATCTTCTAACTCCCATCTACTTAGTATGCTCATTTTACCCAGGTATACCTCTTGAGAACACTCCATACACCTTTTTTACCCTCCTTCTGCTATTTCCCCTCAGACATCCACAGAAAAAGGAGTCACAAAGAGAACCCTTAAGTTTTCAGTTGCCCTCGCCTTTCTTATGAACACGACCTACAAGTTGACCCTAGGACCCCGCTGAAACACGTTGGGAAAGCAGTGGGCAGGAAGTGAGAGGAAACTTCTCGCTTAGCCACAGAGGTGAGATCGACCAGCACAATCCAAGACCCGAGAACTTTGTTTAAGGACTCTAGGAACGTCAGCTTCCTGTACTCACACTTTGAATGTTGGGCAAGTGCTTTTTGTGCAACGAACTCACTCAAAAAGGACAGAAGAGATATTTAAGCAGAAAAGGACCACGCCATGAGGCTCAAGGCAGCTTCAGGCAGGACGAATGCCATCCTACACCTTTTGCGTAGACAGCTTGGAGCCCTCGCTCCCGAACTCTTCCTCACCATTTTCAAATCATACGCGCGGCCCACATTACCTACTAATTCTTCTGTAGGAACGAAACCCATGCGACCATTCGTGCAATTCCCAAATGCTTTTTCTTCGTTCTTATTTCTCTTTTTCACCCCTTTTTTCTCCTTCCCTTCTTTCCCCTCTTCTCTTCCCTTATTATTATTTTTTCTTCAGGCAGAGTATGCTGTGTGCTTGAAGCCTTGAGGTAACTTACAGAAACTGGACGGGGTGCGAAAACATACAGATTCTTGTCCATGTTATCTTCCTGAGTCTCAAGAAGGCCTTTGATAATGTCCTACAGGCCGCCGCTTCGCTGAAAAATGCCTGGATGAGGGTCAGTGTTCAAGAAGTACTGGACAGCTTTTTACCTCACTGCTGGATTGCGGGGGTATCCCACTGTGCCCTTAGCGCTCACTATTCTCGTACTACTGTGGTGAAGAATGCGGGTGAAATATTGGCGAATAACGACCCCGAAATCAATTCCTATTTTCCGGAGGGAGTCCGTGGGGAGTACATCACGCTGGGCGGGTGGGCGAATTAGTACTTTTCTCGAGCTCCTTAACAGGTACCACGGCACAACGGCCTCATTATGCCGGGATGGGGACATGATTCACCAACAAGTGTTCCAAAGACAGGCGAAAACAGGTACTCGAAGGATGATGGGTGGGATAACAGATCCGGGTCACCATGCTTAAGTTACCAGAGCCTACCCAGCCGCACAATAACGACCCGAAAGACACTTAATAATCCCAGCCCTTCGGACAAGGAAATATTTCCTGAAGTTATTTTGGCGATTCTCGTGGAAAAGCAGTCCACTGATAAGGGGAGAAAGCTATTCGGCCGTCACACCTTCACTCCCTCTGGGTCTGCGGACACCTGGAAGTATTATCAGCCGGGGCCACCATGATCGCTTTTTTCCATGGCCTTAGGAAGAGGCTTGAAAGATATACGTCGATAGCGTTCATCTAGCTGGGATAAGGATTGGGCTGAAACAAGTGATCGGCGTCTTATCAGTCTGGCGCTCTCTTTTCATTCGTACCGATCCTCTTCTATTATCACTATTTTAACACATAAAAGTTGATCTCGTCGTGTCTGAAGCAGAATCTGGCACCCAGATTTCCGGCTCACCATCAATATCATTACTATTTAAAATTGCATTTTCCCTGCCACAAACTTCCCTGTTCTTACTTCCTGTTGTGTTACTCTAATCGTTTAAATTCCTCCAGCACTATTACCCTCCCCTCCCTCCGACCTCACTCAACTTTTGTTCCTGTCTTTCTTCGTTCGCTTCCTTTTCCCGCTACTCTTCTACATATCTCCTCATGCCCTTATTCATCGTTCACGACCAGTTGAAATGACTGTCTGGCGATATCTGTCGGTCCCATCTACACAACGGCCCCGAGGAAAATCAGAAAATGCCCGCCAATGTGAGCAAAACTGGACCATCCTCATGTGGCATCAAAAATCCAGAGGGTGAGTGACTGGAATCAATGGAAAACCCGAAATCGTTGCGCAAGTTTAAGAAGAGAAGACGAAAAAATTAAATAGTTTACACCAGCTGGTAAAATATGCACTTGATATTGAAAACAAGAAACTCATTGCGAAAAGATTTTCGGAGGTTCACAGATTTCTCTTCCGAGGCCAGAATTCCTGCCCAAAACGGTAAGTAAAGTTATCTAATTATCCTCTAGATTCCTCCACAGCCCACGCAGTGCTGCACTTCATGCGCGGACAACCGGGTGCCCTGGTCCCAGAAGTCTTTTTCAAGCTGTACAAGACCTACATACGACCTCACTTAGAGGTACACAGCGTCATTGCACCACCATATCTGAAAAGAGATCTGAACATCTTGGAGAAAGTCCAAAGGTGAACAAAAAAGGGCGTCTTTGAAATGAGGCGAAAAGCCCATAAGGATAGGCTGAAAGATCCAGGACTCTACTCTCAAAGCTACAGCAGACTACGCGGTGACTCGATGACGGCTTTTTTTACAACCAGTCCAACCGATTGTCTGCTGGCACGATATTCGAGGAACCCATCTGCACCACAGTCCTTTTGGAAAGAAGCAGCACATACTCCCTACGAATTTAATCAACACCCAACCACCCGTCGTGCTAACCAGAGCTACAGCAGTCAAGTGGATAGACCTACTGCATCAGAATCCACCAAAGACCTGGAACCGTTTCGCATGACCTAGAAGCGAGCGCGAAGAAATCAACTGGTTTACCCTAGGTCGGAAAAAGATATTGGATATCTGATTGAACACTGAGTTAATAGCGCGAAGAACAAAATGTAACGGTTGGTTTGAGGGTCATTGTGACTTCATAAAGATGGTATCAGGTGTTCATCACCTAAACTGACATTTTAGATTCTTATTTTCTTAGCAGCAGTGTGGGTAGTGGGGTATCTTTACTTCTATATAAAATCAAAAGATGACGCCCCGGAGTTAATCCGCGCAATGATTATAATGGGGTCTGGTAACACACCTTTCTATGTATAACTATAGGTGGACACACGAGTGAAATGTTGTCACACGTATCAGTTCTCACGCCAAAGTACCAACCACGTGTATATGTGATTGCTACGACTGACTCCATGAGTGAGCAGAAAGTTTTGAATTTGGAAAACGGTCGTGGAATTGAAGTTAGCTTTTTTTTCTAGTTTGTGAATTCTTAGTTCGAAATCAGAAATGTAAGAAGGGCCCGCGAAGTGAAGCAATCGTACGTGAGTAGCATCCTCACAACAGTGGTTTCTTTTCTGTGTTCTGTACCGCTGGTTGTACGGTGTCGACCAAAGCTGGTGAGTTACTTAAACTGGTTGGATTTCAGAATAATGTCTGTTGTTTGTATTTCTTCGACGTACAGCTGACAAAGCCCACTTTCTGAACGAGTCTTATCCATTATAATTATTCTTAGATATCACAGCGACAACGAACTACTGGTAAAAAGGTTTCTTCCCTTTAGGTCCAACCATAACACAAAGTTTCGCCGGACAAGGGTGAGACAAGAAGCAGTTGCCGTTATCGTGTAAATTACTATGCTGTGAGGAGTTTTGAGGACAAATTTGTACTGCTGTTTGGACGGTGTTGTAATAGTGAACGAACAAACGAAACGCAGCTACCTTGTACACATCCGTGCAGTAGGCAATAGGACACCTATTTGAGGGCTAGTAATACTACCTGGCGGAGCGGGGCTCCAACCCCTGACCCAGTAGTTGATAGTCATATCCCTAAACCACAACCATGGTTCCACCACTGTAACAGCAGTAAGGTGTTTCCCACGAATGGTCATCAGTACCGTGCTGGTGATTTTGTCTCGATTGGGAAAGGGGAGTTAGAGAAGGTTGGCCCCATAAATAATCAAATAATTATAGGACCTATAATCTCTGACACTGCTCGTCAGGTCGATTCCTGTGATTATCATATGTTGGTTTCTGCCTCTTGAAGACTGGCACAATCGGTGGTTGAGACCAGTCAGAGAGAATCATGTCTGATTGTCATTTGCTAGCTAACATATCAGTTTACGCAACAATGATACTCGACCATTGTCCATAAATACTTCTGGTTCTAGCCCAGTTTAGCCTGCTGCTTCTTTTCATTTTAGATTACTCACAAGCTTCTTAACTTCTGCAAGAGGTGGAGGACCTATTTCAGTGTCAGTCAGAATCCAGTTGAATAGAAAGCAAGTGAAAACTAGCTGCAGGTCAGCCAAGCTGTTCCTGGAAGTATTCTGTCGATCGTCCCAGTTGTCTGCGAGTGAATCATAGACCCATCACTGACGTCTTCATCCGAGTTGCCTCAATAAGTCTAAATAACTACTGTTACCTATTGTCGCTGCCTTTTCCATCTTTCTAGCCCTCACTGCTCATGGTGATTGCGTAGACCTCGTTGGTCAACAATTGAGTTGCTTCTACTGCTCATTATGGTCGGAGCCTGTATGACTCCGTTCACGTTCACCCATTAATTCAGAAGTTGTTGAGATCCACTGATGCTTTAAGACCTGTTTCTGCGAGTGAGTTAGTCTTTGACGCTATTTTGCAGCAAACGAAAGATAACACTTGGCTTCTGTTGGGTGAGATTGTCCTGTTCTGACAACTATCCAGTCCCCCTCTGAAAGAGGCTCAAGTAGTCTCACCGTCAAACTGTTCTCGAAATCGTCTGTTTGGTGTGGTTTTTCCATGCCCATCTAGATGCAAACATACGTGTACTCGAACTGGCGCGTGGTCTTTCTCCATACATGTGCTTCAGAAGGATCAGTATTCTTCTGCCAACCCTCAAGTGATGGCTGATAACAATATGTTCCATGTGTCCACCTTTGATTTGAGGTGGGTGGATGTCACATCTTACTGTTTCGCTTCATGTCTGAGGTTCGTGCTGGTCATAAATAGATGGTTGTTTAAGCACAGTTGTAGCAGGCAATCGGCGTTATGTGTTCGTTCGTCTAAAACTCTAAGTGCTAATTAATTGTCTTTTTGTCTAACCAAACCTACCCAATGCATTGGAGTCATTTGCTACGATAACCATATCTGCAAAGTTGGTTTTCAGTGGGAGGTTGGAAAGTTTTCACTTCATCCGAGCTGCAGAGAGATTTCAAAGAAAAAATTGCGAGCTTCATTATTCTTAGTCGTCATTGTACTGTTCCATCGAACAGCTTTTAGGCGACTGTCGATTGAGTTCCAGTTGACCAATGCACTTTCTGCCTTAGAAAGATTAGAAGGCAAAGGTGTAGAAAGTTAATAATGATCGGTCGGTGTCGGGACGCGTTGACCACTTCATTTACTTGGGAAGTTGAACCAGTCGTAATAGGTCGTCTACTGACGAAATCTTTGCATGGATAAAATGGGTCCGACTGATTCTTTCGAAATCACTCTATTTATCGCGCTCCCATTATATCCGATTGCCTATTGAAGGTCAGGTGTACTTCGCTGCAATTCTCTTTGTTCTAATATATTTCTGTGAAACAGTCGTTGAAGTCAGAGGATACGAGAAGGCTTTAACTGTTCGACCACCATTGCTTTCGTAGCATGGGCCACCGTCTTTTGTTATGCTGCTACTTCAGTAGTGTAGAAGTCAGACACAGGGTTTTACGCGGAAGAAGAGAGCCAGTTAGTGGCGTTGTGAACCTTCATCGTTCTAGGTGACTATGATCTACATTAAGCATACATAGTTTGTTTGCCTCTTCACACTATGTTGTCTGAAGTAGGTCTATTTTGGAAAAAGGTTAGAGGCAGCCAGATCTGAACTTGACGTCAGTATCTGAAGTCTTAGTCTGTCGGAGTCGTGTAGAGTAATATGAACTTCCTGGTTGAAGCCTACGTGACAACAAAAACCAGTGGTTGAAGGCGCTACATGATGTAGCTTAGAATCAATATCAGATGCATGCACATATTACTATCGTCGTATTGCATTTTGTTTTATCCTCTCTTCTCTCTTTATGACTTTCTGCAGCTTTGGATTACATTCATCTTTCTCTGTCTTATATCTCCATGTGCTTCTATTGGATTTGCCACCTTACGCCATTAAGTGTAATATCACGTTCGATTTTCTCATAACTGACAGAGAAGTAGTGGAAGAACAAGTGATAGTCGACAATTAATTAAATCTATTATTATAACTGGACTAAAATAATGGTAGCCACCCACAGTATAACGGAGAGAAAAGTGTTTAAGCGGTCTGCTTTTATGCAAATAGACAAAATCAATGTAGAACCTCAGAAAAGAGTGCATCAGTTCAGATTACCACACTTCATAGTCGAGTGGGTGGGAAAAAAGTGGTATAAAAGCGAGGAAATATGGATTGGAGGTGAAAGAAATTGAAAAATGAAAGTTGGTGAAAATATCTCAACTTTTAAGAGTGTATTCATCTGCACATTTATAATAGATTTTATACTATTTCACCGAAGGTTTCTAACCATTGGCTCCTTTTATCACGAAGACCCAACTAGACAGTTTACAGCTCTTTATATGGCTTAGACTAACAATCAGAGACTGATGCCACTTTTTGGTTTGACCACGCTGAGTCATAATCTATCTCAATTGAAATTCAGCTAACATAACACATAGAAATAGGCGGCTTGCATTTAAAACAATCATACAGAACGATAAACAGAATATTTCATTTATTCATACACTTGGCAATGACTCACGTACAATATTTCTGCGTTGTAAGTATTGTTTGACGATTCCAACGCAAATAAGTCTAACGGGTGTGAAGTTGAGTCACTAATTAAAAGTCTAATTTTTCAGCTGTATCATTCTAAATTTTCATGTATCTGGCTAGTTATTTTCCAACCATGTGCATGAAAGCTTGTTCACTGCATTCCACACTTTGTAATATTATTACTTTTTTACCTTTCCCATCTATTCACACGTAAAAGCTCAGAGACTATGACTACTAAGTTAAGTATTATAATGTCACTTGGGACTTTTATGATAAAATTTCCTTCGTGAAATGATTACACTGACTCAACTTTCATGCAATAACGAATACATTCTATACACCATCAAATAAATGAGTTTAACAACGTAAAGGGAAACAGTCTCCAGAGAAATAAAAATAATGTCATCTCAAGTTCCAGAGCATCACAAGAAGAGAACAAGACGGGATAAAGCGAGTGACATTACGCAGTATTGGAAAATTGAAAGTAATTGGAAGTCACAGAAAGCTATGAACTAAGATTATGACGTAGCCTAGGTTTTCTGTACTGTATAGTCCTAATGAATTTTATTACTGGGTTTATATTATGTGATGCAAAGACAGAAAGGAAGGCAAGTAAATCTATAAAGTTATGAACCTTCACCGAATGAGTTGGTTTGAACACTTGTCGCACATGCCGACATAAACATGCATCTTTAAGCCTAGACTAAGCGAGGCCAGGACAAAACTGGACATTATTTCATGAAGTGTTTGACTGTAGGTCTGAACCGTATACGGAGGTGTAGGTTACCTGACTGGGTTCCTAGAAATGGTAGGAACCATTTGTTAGTCACCCTTAGTTATGTAGCAAAAATCGATCATATCAGCCTAGAGATGTATACATTATGTCATCTTTGAAGTGTTGTACACTTTTAATAAACTTCACTTGTTTTTTTCTCGTCTCGTACACTTTTATCTGCTGTGTCATGGTTTTGTATTACGATGTTGACTGTGACAACTTGAACCGATGGACTTCTGTGCTAGGTTCTATGTTGATTTGTTTACCTATACGCCGAGGTAAACTTTCAGACTATTTACCTTAAATGTGAATGTAGTTGTTGTGACATCTATACAATAGTAATATAGTTTTTATGGAGAAAGTAAGTTTCCTAATCATACAGTTTTGATTTAAAAACCAATGGTACCGGTAGTTTATGAGGTAAGTTGTTATAAAAATCAGGTCATACATATTCCACCTTACAATATATTTTGTGTAATAACTTTTAAAATTGCCACATCATGAGAAATTATCATTGACGTAAGAAACCTCTTGTAAGGAAACGTTCTAACTGAAGGTTTGAATAAGGCTTACAAAAAATATTTAGTGTTTCGCTTACCTTTTTTATTTTCGTTATATTTAGTGATATTCAGATAAGCCTAGTTTAAAAAAAACTCATGAAATAATCACCCATATCTTTAAGAATATTTTTATTTTGCTACTATATTCCGCATAGATTTTATGCAATGGTCCTGGGACATGTATTCCTGTATGCTTTGCCGCGTTGATACTTCGGGTAAGAAAAGTACTTATCACCGTACATATGCAGTTTCCTCTTTGATCTTTTATAGTGCTATAGGTAAGACTACAGACGGACATATTACAGAAATCAACACTTGGTAGAAAGTGGTCTATGCTACATTATCCTGTTTTGACAAATCTTAGGCATATGTAGTTTGTTCGTTAACTATCACAAATAATTAGTCATTTCTTGCCGTTGCCTTCGTAGTATAAGCCGTATTCCGTCGTGTCACCACGTGAGTAACACAGAAGTCAGGTGTAAAGTTTTAGGGAGAAGAGGTAAGTCGGTTGACATGGTTGTTAACCTTCACCGACCGAGATAGTTGGGACACGTGTTACGTATGCCTAGTCGCTGATTGCCTCGTCACACAATGTTGGCCGAAGTAGGTTCAGGCTGTAAAAAGGCCCGAGGTGGTCAGACTAAAACATGGGATCAATGTATGAAGTGTTTGACTGTCAGTTTGAGACATGTTGGGGGCGATGCACACTAGCTGGTTGGGGTCCACGGGGCAAGAGATACCAGTGGTTGGAGACTCTAGGTGATATGGCTCAGAACTGATGTCAGTGACACAGATGTATATACACACATTATCCTCATCTTAACGGCGCTATACCGAATCTCGTTGTTTTCTCATTCTTTCTCTCTCTCTCTCTCTCTCTCTCTCTCTCTCTCGTTTAATACTTCATATTTATTTTGACTGAATTTTCTTTTCTTCATCTTCCACTTCACTGCCTTTTTACTTGGTGTACTGATATGAGCTGTGACAACTCGGACTGTTGCGCAGTAATGCCTGGTCCTATGTTGATGTTTGATGATGAGTCATTTCTTGGAATGTCCGTAAATTAAACTAAATGGCCTGACTACTATACAGAGTTGTAAATCATGTCACTGATTATTTCTCTGTTTTTACTGAACCTTCCTCTTATCAACATATATTTATGAAGCGGCTATCATTGATCCGTTCTGTGCATGAGTAGTAGATAGTTTTCAGCGTTTATAAAAATTTAACTACTGTGGATTTCACCAAATCGAGAACCTTGTTGTGATAAGTTCTAGTCCTTTGCACTCTTCAAACATATATTCACTGTATCTTCGTTTTTTTACCCTTAGACGTTTTCTACTCTTATTTCGCATCAGCTGATCCTTGTTTTGTGTTCTAGTTTATGAGTTCATATCCTTGCCTACTGTTATCTCCTCCCAAACTTTCTCTATTTTTTACTGGTACCACTAAAATCAGTCGAGATAGACTTGCTCAAACACATTATCATTAACCATGCTCTGTTACTACTATGATCAGAGTTCATTTAAAATTCAAGCTCAGTATAACGAGTAGCAAATTCTCTTCTTCAGTGGCTAATAACAATTATCTATTTTTATTTGCGTTTGATTTGACCTAGTGAGCTACTCAACCTGTGATAACGGAGTGGCTTGTGATATAACTCACATATCTACACTAGGGAGAATCATTTATATTATTATTACCATTATTATTATTATTATTATTATTATTATTATTATTATTATTATTATTATTATTATTATTATTATTATTATTATTATTAGAATAGAAATATGGTGCAACAAGAAGACGAAGTGTGTCACAAAATAATTCAACAACAATCTGAAGACATAAAAAAAGGGGAAGTGCGGAAATAAAAAAAATAGTAATAAATGAATGTTTAGAAAGGCAGTCCAGTAAGATACATTCAAAGCGAAACATTACTTTTCAGCGGCAGCAGAAAATAAAAGGAAGCTACAGCATGACCGCCACTGGTTTTGATTCCGAGCCATATCTGATAACGTCTCAAGCCCTATTATGTTGTGTGATCTCTCGGACCCCACCTAGGTAGTCGTGAAGCACCAACAGATGCTAACCCGATACAACTATCCTTCATCCCAGGCGCCACGTCATACACTGACCATCTCTCCGCTTTTTGCATCCGGTCTCGGAGTTAGCAAACAATGAACGGTGTGGAAGCTGTTGGGACGACATGCGTAACACACTTTGGAGCCACCGAAGCCGGTGTTTTCAGATAACTTCACTTGTTGAATGACCGTCTCCATGTTGTTCAAACACACGTAACGTACCTCAGAATTACTTACATGGTTTTACCACCGGACACAAGCTATCCTACGGAGACAACGGCGGTTTAATACGCAGAGCTGTTGCACATTCTGAGCTGGGAGAGTCTAGGTTACACATGGATAGAGCAGAACTGCTTGCACCGAAGCGTTGTAAACGCAACCTTTTGCCATCAGACTAACGTTGCGACGGCCCCAAAGGTGGCCCACATTAGCGTATGTCATTTTATCTTTCGTCACGTGGTTAGAAATTTCTTCACTCACACAACTACCCTGGTACATGAACTTTTCTACTACTTCCAACGGCTTACCACCAAGGGTGAGAGCAGGCACAAATTCCTACCAATCTTGCAAAAGTACTTTTTACTTCGATGGTGTAGGGCACACATATGATTCTTACGGATACAAGGACAAGTCAAGTTCATTTACACTAACTTTCATTTTGCTTAATACATTGACACAAACAAATCATTATTTTCTACTAACAAGTGTTAAACGATTGGGTAGTATATAGTGTTTTTGGTGACTGACAATGGGATTTAAGACGTAAATTTCTTTCTACTTGTGGGATTCATTAGTTGGATGTGAATGTATTTCATTGATTGACAATGTTTTCATTCACCCTAGAATCCAACACCTATCACTATAAACACTCGAACGTTATCCATTGGACTGAGTTATTTGATTTGTTTCTTATTCATCAGGTATTTAGTCATTAATATCCAAATGAAATTTACAACAGTATCTTGGTTGTGTTATGTTCTCTGAGCTGGATGGTTTAATCGTGAAGCTTTTCTTTTTCTGTCTGGACAACATAATCAGTACCTAACTTCAATATAAAGTGAGCTGTCAGTATCTCTTCGTGAGTGTTTCAGTAGCTTGCTACTGCTATTCAGTGCGAAAAAAGTGTTGTGTTGCTTCCTCTCTCTCTCTTTTTCATAGCTTGGACTTGTTTTGTAGATTTATGGCTCATTAGTTTAGGAAGATGATGGGTCCGAGCACCGTTCCACATACCAAGGTTTATCCAACCAGATAGTATCATTCACCTTCACATACAATAAGTTTATCTCATTGCGTACTGCACAAATGGTGCATGTGGTTACCGAGAGCATTTCGATTTCTTTCCTAGACCATGCAACCGAAACCACTTGCATATAGACTTCAAAATTATTTGAAGAAGTACTACTACTATCCAAGAATCTTGAATACCGTAATTCCCGTTCGATTTTAGGGATTGTTTTATTGATAAAAAAGCTTATTTTTAGTAATTATATTTATGTTTTTATTCCTGTACAGGTGCTTGGACTTCATTCAACTGTAATTGTTTTTATTGAAAGCGTATGCCGTACTAAGACGTTATCTTTATCTGGAAAACTTTTGTACTACACTCGTTTAGTCGATGTGATTGTTCAGTGGCCAGAGTTAAAAGCCAAATATTCGAGATCGGTTTACTTAGGCCTTTTATCGTAAACCGGTATATATATATATATATATATATATATATATATATATATATATATATATATATATATATATATATACATATATATATATGCTGTACTATACATATCCTTTGTGTTATCTGTCCCCACTGACAATGTTTGTTTATAGAATATGATTATCTAAAAACTGTAATAAATTCTATAGACTGTTAAGTGTTCACTTATGTAGGCTACCTGGCTGGGGGTTCTCTAAATGACAAGAATGACTCGTTTTCTACCCACTTGTTCTCTGTATACTGCTGTGAAGTGTGTGGCAACTTGAACCAGTGCACTTGTCTGAAAGGTTTTACGTTGGTTTTGTCTATTTAAGTGTTCACTTGTTTGTTAATGAACGTAAAAGGATAAGGCTTTGTCATTCAACGATGCGAAGAATGTGAGTTATGCAGTTAAGAATAGTTAAAGCAGTAGTCATAGTGGTAGTATAAATGATACGAATATTAAGAGGATGATAGTGTAAACACATGAGGTCAAATCTCGTTGGTGGAGCAACAAACTCTGGATATAAATATAGGGTTCAGGTGTGAAACAGAGATAAAGGTTGCTTGTACTTTTGATTACGAACATTAAGGATTGTTACTCGAATTCCTACAGCTTCAGTTGTATGTAATTAACAGATTCTTACTTCATGGAGGAGGGTTAAATGGTATGCATCCAACCATTTAGAAAAATTTTGTATTGTCTGCCTAGTGACCACCGTCCCAACCAAATGTCACAAAGCGGAAGTTTGTATAAATTTCACTTATTCGTCTACGAGTTACAAAGATAGGTATCCGGTAATAAACTAGTCCAGTTGCATGGTTTTACACCCGATGCAATTGTCTCTACAGGGGCAATTTGGTTGGTGAGCATAACGAACAGTGATAAAACCCGATAACTTTTCCTTCATCCTCGAGAAAATAGTGAAGATGTTAGCTGCGTCAAAAATTCGTTTACTATTCCTCGATAATCTCTCAAACAGAATCTCACTAGGTATATTCCATTGGATTGTAACTTGATAAACAAGGGCTTCTTACAGACAGTTCCTATTCGAGGTGTATTCTAGCTCGTGTAACATCATCAGAACAAAACTCCTTCCCTCTGATATTCAGACAATATTAACTGATGCATCTTCTCTACTTGTCTGTAACATGGATTATTGAAGACAAAGTGTACATTTGAGGAGTAATTCCTCAGGACCAGAGTCAGAAGTTTGTCTTTCTACCACTTGGCGGCGTAAGCGACATAAGTTTGAAAGTACGGACCATCGAATTAAGGCCAGTGACTGGCAGGTTAAGTGTTCATGGGAAAACTTAACGATTATGACCCCTATGCTGCATAGAGTTGTGTGGGGTGACATCACTGAGTAGTCTCAGATTAGAACGAGGCATTTATTTGATCAGTGCTTCCTAGTTTTGAGTGTCTTTATAACTGTCGAGAAAGTTATTATAAGCTAGTCATTTTCTGACTAATTTATCTTAGCACTTTCAAAGTGCTAACTGGAAGTGTTTTTCTTTCCTAGTTAACTAATATTCTTTGCAATTTTTATCCCAGCAAAATCTGAATTCTGTTTCGATGTCAGCATGCTCTACGGTGAATTCATTGACTTTTGATTTATTCCCTCCTCTTATACGCGTTGATCTTCTCATATTGGGTATTATTCCTTTGAATATGCTATTTTTTTCATCACATTATTATCAACTATGGAGAAGTGTGTTAATTTCGATTGGTTTAATCTAGTTTTGAATTACTATGATTGAATTAATAAACTATTTCATCAAATAAATGTTTTCTAGACTACCTGGGTGTGCTAGAGCCTATGGTGAGATATCGGGTAAGCTGTGTACGTCGAGTGGTGTCTATCAAGGATGCCCACTCTCTCCATTCTTATTTCAATTTTACCATAGATGTTCTTATGGAGGTCTCCCTATCGTCGTCTGACTACACAAAGATTGAACTGATCATAGGAGAATTTTTGGTAGACCTAGAATACGCAGATGATATAGTCCTATCGGTTGAAGATGCTGACAAGATGTAGAGTCTTCTGGACATGTTGAGTAGCAATTTGAGAATGTTTGGGATGCGTTTCTCGACACCCAAATGCTAATTGTTGCTCCAGGACTAGTCTTTAAGGGTGCCTCGACTGACAATAGAGAGTGAAATGGTTGAGTGCGCTGAACGCTCCACTTACCTGGGAAGTTGGATCACTTATGATGTGTTGGTCAGTGGCTGACGATATCTCTGCACGGATACAAAAGGCTCAGTTGACTTTTGTCAACTTACGCCATATGTAGCACCACCACTATATCCGATTGCCTATTGCGGGTCGAGTGTACTATGCTGCAGTACACTTCGTCCTACCACATGTTTGTAAAATCTGGTCGTTAAACGTAGGAGACATGAAGGCTTGATGTGTTTTACCACCGTTGCCTTCGTAGGCAACGTCTCATGGTGTCACCACGTGAGTAACGCAGGAGTCGGACGCAGTTTTAGGGAGGAGGGGTAAGTCAGTTGATGTGGTTGTGAACCTTCATGAAATGAGATGTCTGGGGGATGTATTACGTCAGTTTCGTCGCACAATGTTGGCTGAAATAGGTCCAGGCTCTGGGTGGCCACACTAAAACATGGCGTGAATGGACGAGGTCCTTGACTGTTCGTTTGAGCTACGTAGTACGACGCAGACTAGCGGGTTAGGGTCATGGGGACAAGATAAACCAGTGGTTGGAGACTCTAGGTGATATGGGTCGCAATGGATTTCAGTGATGCAGATGCATACACGCATTACCCTCATCTTTACTACTGTACTGAATCTCGTCATCTCACTCTTCCTTCCTCTCTTTGATTACTTTCTACTTTGGCTTCTACTTCCTTTGATCGATTTTCTTTCCTTCATCATTCATTTTATTGCCTTATTACTTAATGTGCTGATATGAGATGTGACAACTTTGACTGTTACGGTGTAATGCTTGGTCCTATGTTGCTCTTGACGACGATGAGACTAGCTGCAGTTTGTGAAGAGCTTCATTGTTCACTGCTTGTTAGTCGGTATTCTTGCGCTGTCGAGCGATTCATTTCCGTTAGCTCATCACAGTACTATAATTTTAGTCCTGAACACTAAACTAACTGAAAGGTGAAAGGGAGTAACGCTCATGAGTTGAAAAAATATTCCAGGTTCAGATGAATATATGGTATGGATGATTCTGCGCCGCCGCAGTTTATTGTATATTATATCATCCAGACTTCAATCAGTCGCTTGAAAACCAAACAATGAAGAACATACTTATCTGCATGGTTCATAATAGTCGTCAGTGACTTTATCGATTGATCCAGTGGCTCAATAGTAACGTGCTGGCCATGGCACCTTAAGGTGCTGGGTTCGTTCCCTGGTGGGGTCGTGGGTGAGCACTGCTGAGGAGTCCCATACTAGGACGAAACAGCTGTTCAGTGCTCCCAGGTTTCCATTGTTCCTTCAAATGATGTCAGTCAATGACGAATGAAAGTTGCCGAGAAACTAAACTGACCAAATATCAGTCTTTGACATAAGTGCATAACTACTTCAACTCTGATGGTTGGTTAGACCAGATACCTTCTGAGCTTATTTAAAGATAGGATTCATTTATTCATCACCTGTTTGTAAGGATTAGACGTTTTACGGCGAACGCGTTAACCATTCAGCCATTGAGTCAGAGTTCAATGGTGAACAGTTTCCTACTTTTGTCAATTCGTGATAATATCCTGGCTATCTACCAAGATCTTCAGTTAGTTTGCATGTATTCAATGATTCTCCTTTTGATGTCAATTTGTAATGAATACAACCTTAACTTGTTATAGGTTTCTGAAATATTTAATCTTTAAATTAGAAAGTTTTTATTCCTACTTTTTTTCTTCACAATAATTATTTTGAGTTCATACTTGCGCCACACTCTCGAGTAGAATCCAACGGGGAAACGATGAGTTAGGCGTCTCAGGTGAGGGTGACATGGAGGAGAACATGTGAGGAAGAAATGAAAGCTTCTGGGTAGTCATGGAGCGAAGTTCAAAAGACTGCAGAGAACAGAGTACAATGGAGGCGTGCTACTGAAGCCCTATGTTCCACTAGGAATCCAAGGGGAAATAATGATGATGATAATAATAATAGTACTTGCATTTTTATGAAATGGTCTCTTTTAAAACAAATAGGAACGAAGATTCAATTTCATACTGGAAGTACACAAGTTCTATTGTCACTTTAAAGAGGATTTACAACTGCCTAACTGAATGTCAACTCAATTCATCAAAATATACAGAATTGAATTAAAATAGGTTGTTGTTAGCTACACTAATTGCAGAATTTCTTAAAGGTAGATTAAAAGAAATAAGTCAGATGAGATTATGAATAAATGGTCACTAAGCGAACCGATTAACCTATTGCGTGTTAATTGGTATAAAGAAAGCTCATCAGTGAAAACTTAAGACTTGAATATAAGGGTAAGCTTGCATACTGTGATAGAATGTAATTCCATTTTTATTGATTTATTAGATTTATCATACAGTGAGGGGACAGTATTGTTTATTGGATCACGTTTCGAACATAATTTATTGTCCCCATAGTCATATCAATAAGACTTCACAACTTTGAGAAGTCCTTTATATAGTCCTAATTTCCTCACCTCTTTTGTCGAGGAGGGGTAGCGTGTTAACCTATTAGACCCATAGAAGACTTCAGAAACACTCTTATTTATGACTTATCTACTAAATATTTTATCGATGGTACTAGGTCCAGTTAGAAACCATCCTAAATCAAGGCTTACTAACTCATGACTTGAAGGACAATCTGTAGGTTTCTACAAAGAAACAGAGAGAGTGGCCATGGGATCACCAATATCCCCTATTGCGGCTGACATATTTATGCATAGTTGAGGAGGGATGGCTGTAGAAACACTTAGTCTTGCTCCAAAAATATGGTTTTAATATGTAGACAACATGTTTAGTTTTGAAATCGGATCACATACATAGTTTCACTATACACATAAGTTCAGTAGTCACAGCGA